AACAATGTTGCCCCATGTATGGTGGCCTTAAGAAGAAAGCTTATGCATGTGTGAACTGTAATTGGAGAATACGGAAATAATAATACAATAAATTATAAAACTAAGGAAGAAGAGAGGAAAAGTGGAGGAACTTAGTGGGAGGGAGAGGAAAAGGGAGAGACCAACAATGAAGAAGAATACGTGAGAGAGAGAGAGAGAGAGAGAGGCGTAGATTACCTTGTTTAGTTTTTCTAACTATCTTCACAGTGTGTATTATAACATCAGCTAATTTTTTCCAATTCTTTTCCACTATAACTGACTAAAAGATGCACAAATACATGTAAAATCACAAATGTGTTATGAGGGTGTGTTCTACCTGTAAACTGGCCAAAAACTTGTTATTGGCTTTAAATGTTTTTTTGTAAAGTTTCTCAAACGTTGATCTCAATGGAGCGATGAGCCAAGAAACTGATACTGGCTTGAAACTATAAACAATAAATAAATAAATAAAATATAAATAAATAAATACAAGTTATTTTAGTGTATAAGCCACATAAAAGTACACAATAAATAATTTTGTATTATGAACCAAAAATAACACTATTATACCACCATCATTATCATTACTATATAATTAAATAAAAAAATAATAAATAAATAAATAAATAAATAAATACAAGTTGCTTAGTGCATAAATCTCAATAAACAATCTTTTTATTAGTTAATCCTTACCCTCCCAGTAGATCAGAGGAGTCAGTCTGCTGGCTCAAGTTAATACTAACGAGTTTATTCCCAGTGATGGAGGAGAGGTAGCTGATACAGGCAGTCTTACCCACTCCAGTCTCACCTACTAGCAACACTGACTCACGGAACTGGACAGATCTTGCAATGGACTCCAATAGACACATTGAGGTACGAGTGGAGGCATAGCATGAACTAGGGAAAGGAAAAGAAATGACGAATAAATATATAAATGAATAAAGTTTTAAAAGAAAAAGAAAGTAATATTAAAGAAATCAGAACCTAATAGTTTCAAGGTCTAAAATGTCAGGATCTAAAATACTTCAAGGCTTGGCTATTGGCCACTATACGACATTTTAGCAGTAGCAAAATTATGTAGCTTTCTGGCTAATCTTAACCATGTACATGTACATATTTTAGGCGCTTAAAGGAATGAAGGGCAAGATAGAGAATGAATGAGAATGGAGGAGGGAAGAGAAGAGGAAGTGGTGGAGGAAAGTAATATGATAGAATCATAGAAGGAGAAATTAATGATAGAATAAATGGCAGTGTCTTACTTCACTCTCTCTGTTCTTGAGCTGCTCAAATATGCTCTACCAATGCTGACAGTAGTCAAGGCATCATTATAGCTAGGTTTGTAATCATGACATAAATACTTGACCTAATAATTGTATGCAAAGTCACATGAGTGATGATGATAACTATCAATTTAAATTACGGTTTCTTCAGAGAGTCCTCCACAGAGTGATTTCAATTGGAGGGCAGCTTTATAACGTTCATTTGAATGTAAGTGACCAACAATAACATCAACTAACTGGTGAAGAGAAAGAGAAAGAAACGAGAGTGAAATACAATGCTATGGACATTTGGTATACTAATACATGCAACCAAAACTTAAAATTCAACAAACATTCTACACAGTATAAGGAAATGTATCAAATTATGTGATCAATATAAACTACATGTGTGTTGTCAGAGATAGTTTTATAAAGCACTATGGCCTCTAACAGTTAATAGTAATGAAGTATTATGATGAATGCTCATAATTAAAGCAAACACAATTAAATTTGAATAAAAGAATGTTCCAACTAATAAACTCACATCAAGTAGCATATCATTGAATGAGGTTATTGATCCTGTGTGAGTTGACATTGACATTAACCGTCCACTTAACTTCAGTAGCTTCCTAATATCCAAGACAACCCTTTCTCCTTCTAATGACTCTGAAGTTGATATAAGGGTGTGTAGAAATGAAGCAAGTCCAGAAATGTTAAACTTTGATGTTAGAATCTAAAATAATAAAAAAGAAACAGTTACTTATTGTCACCATGATGATAATTTTCTATCTAAATAAAAATTTACACATATTAATTACATAGAAAATGCATACACACACATTCAATTTCTATTCCTTCTAAACCAAAAATATCTAAAGTCAAATCAGGTGCAATGTGGAATAGAAACAGCAGTATGTACATGTACAACAATTGATAGACAGCCATTAATTTAGGGCCCCATTGCTGCATGCAATTTGGTGATTACTTTGATTCTTAGGTAAACCATTGTTCCATACTTAAGGCAATAGAATTGCCCGTAGATCAAAGCAACTACAAAGCTGCTCAGTATGTGCCTATAGCTTACATTGTAAGTCAAAAATATGTAGCTAGTACAAACCAGTGGGTACTTTATGCATGTACATAGTATAATAGCAAAGTATTGGCTTGCTTCCCTCTTACTTCCTGAAGTTTTGATAAATTCCCTCCAAGATACTATTTCATATTTCCTTCATACTAAATGCTAGTATTTACGTCAAACAGTAAATTGATGACAAACTGGGAATAACAGTGTTACATTACTATAACTATATATAAAGTGGAAACTCTGCAGAAATCACCAGTAAAACCAGTACAAGATCACAACTAAACCAAGATCACTACTAAAGATCACTACAAGATTACTACTCAAACCAATACAAGATGAAGCTAGCTATAGTACTCCTGTTTGCCATGTCAATGGTACTCATTGAAGGAGCAAGGCCAAACTACAGGAGAGAGTACTGCCACAACGAGGACTACTACCCTAACCAGTACTTCCCACGTCTTAGCTGTGGGACTGACTACGTCACACTTGAAGTCAATAAGAGTTTTAAGATTAAGCTGGTCTGCAGCAAAGGGATCAAGTGCGGTATAGTGGATAAAGCCCTCAACGATCCAGTCCTCTATCACAATAACTACAAGATAAAGGATGCTCTGGATAAGTTTGCTTATGAAGAGTGTGGCATTGTCGTGAGGGAAAAGGATGGACAGGGAAAGTGCTACACATTCTAAAGAACTGAAGACTTAAATATATTATGAACTCTGGAGTATAGCCATTAATTTTTTAATATTTTTTAGGAATTGTTATGATGGCTGATTAGGAATTTTATTAGTATTTTGCTGAAGTATTATTATAAAATTATTGCTGCTATTTTTTAGTTATGATTTTTTTTATAACAGTAAATCCACAATAGTAGAGCCAATGTACACACTAAGCATGCAACCATATACCAGCACTATACATTCCTTTACTAATTATAGTATAAATTCCCCTTTAAAGGTTTCCCATTACTACTAGTGCATGACTAATATCTTTATGAATAATAAAACACAGTCACTGACTGCATAAGTGAATTACAAAAAAACCATTAACTATTATATGAAATAGAGTGCTACTGTAATGGTAGCACCTGTTGTCTCAGTATTATACAGGATACTAAAAATTCTTAGTATTGAGCTAGCTTGCAGACTGCATCATGTGGTATCACAATAACATCGACTTCTATGATTTTTAATTTTTGCAATGAAACAAAAGTCAAATGATGTTAATATAATAATAATAATATATCACAGTGTAGTATAAGAAATTTAGTGACTAACTATTAACTATTCAATGAGTATCAATTACACCTGCTATTTAAAGAACAAGCCTCTCAGTAAAACCATAACTGGAAGTACAAGAGTATGAAGCTTGCTATACTACATGCAGCTCTGTTTCTATTGTCCTTTATTCTTGTGGATACAGTGAAAGGATCCTACAAGCGACAATACTGTGGCAATAGGATCCATGTAACAAGTGGAAGTTATCCTCGTCTTGTCTGTGGTGACAATTTCCTTAAATTTTCTTACATAAGGCAAAGTGAAGTACTGCAGCCGTACTTTGCTCATGGCGATCAAGTCTATTGTTATCGAGTTATAAAAGTTCTAAATGATCCTCTTCGCTATGGGTCATTTCAAAAAAATCCAAGACTAAGGAAAGCAATTTTGTATTTTGCAATCAACAATTGCCAAGAAGAAATGGACAAAGACTTTGATGAAGATGATTACAATAATTTACTAAATGAGCATGAGTCAAGTGAAGAGAGGTCCAATAAAATGAGTAGAAAAGACAAATGGAGGAAAATACAAGAAAAATACAAGAAAAAATATAAAAAGCGTAAATATACCTACAAGACTAAAATTAAAGACGAGTTCTAGAGACAAAGAAGAATCAAAGATCTGCATTCGAGATATTTATAAATTATTAGTAATAATTATAGATAAAATATTACAATTGTTTGTATTACAATTTTTTTATTATTATTATTATAAAACTTGTTAATATTTCAAAGGCAAGAGGGCTGGCTTGCACTCATTGCATTGCAGACAAGCGAATTATTCTGTACATACACATTTTTTATGATGATCTAAAAGTCAACAAAGTACATGTGTTTTTAAGCAATGATTAATGACAAAGAATATTGAAAGGAGCCAATTTTAAATGCTAGGATAAAATAGAAAAGACCCACACAAAAGCTACAGCATTACTTTTATTCTGAGCAAAACAGATTCACTACAAATAGAAACTCACCATTCATAACATGTACAATGTACATGTGTGTACCTGATAATAAACAGGTGAGACTATCTGTTACACAAATCATTTCCCTCTCACTTCCGTAATAAACTTCAACATATCAACTTTATCAAGTTACAGTCTATAAAATACCCATGTCAGAATTTCCTACAAGTCAAACACTATCCAAATCTCACATTACTACTCTGTGGAGAGGAATACACAATGACCACTACATTAAGTTTTTGACATTCGTATAATACAGTACAAAATGATTTATTGGCGAGGAATTAATATAGGCAATTGGCGGCTCTGTGAAGAAATCACCATATAATCTGCCATTTGGTTTCAATCTGTGCATGCTCAATGGCTGTGGTACGAAATTGCCAAAATAAAATCCGCCAATTTCTTTTCACAGGCAAATTTGCCAAATATTACTTCCACCAATAAATCATCTTATACGGTACATGTACAGTAGACAGCCATAATAGTTAATGAGATTCATTAAGCTACAAATTTTAATAAAGGTGGTGCTAGCTTAATAATAGCCACAGGATCCAGAAGACATGATGAAGCCCACAATATTTGCTCTGTTTGTACTGTGTGTGATTATTATAGAAGCAAATTACAAGAAAGATTACTGCAACAACAAGGAATATGTACTAAAAGGAAACGATCTTCCTCATCTTCACTGTGGCACAAACTTTTTTCTCCTTTCTTACTATCAGGGTCGAAAGAAACATGCTTATTTTGTATCAAAAGGAATTGTCAAGTGTGAAAAAGTGAAAGAAGTATTGCAGTATCCAGGTGACTTTGGTAATTACACAAAAATCAAAGAAATACGAGATGCTATTCAGACATTTGGCAAAAACGAATGCCCCAATCTAGATCTACAACCCAATGTTGAATTGTAAAAGTTCAACAAACCTGTTGCATGTTTGAATAGAACACACTTTTAAAATGTTCTAATTTTTGATGTAAAATATTTTTTTTATTAATAATTTTCTTATCAATAAAAATATTATTAATGAATGACCATCATGTGCTAGCTACTATCTTCATGGGCAGTGATATCTAGTTTAAAAATGAATAAACTGAAGAGATAAGAACACACAGTAAGTATACCAATGTAAGCTGTGGTTATAGGTATTTGGATGACAGAGAGTATGAAAAATAGAATATTAAGTAAGTATACACTATACACACAATACAACAAATACATTGGGCCTCTATAATATAACGAAATTTTTGGGACAAGAAAGTTTGTCTGCTATACAAAGTTGTCTTTTATGTGGAGGTTATTTTATACAGTAAGGAATGTACACTAGGTGCTGTCTGTTAAATGGAGATGTCTGCTATAGAGAGCCTATACGTTAACACTTGGGAAGCAATACTAATATCATCATTATTAGGGTTTCCCACAAAGCACAGCAGCATGTTCCATGAGCTGACAAGCAATACAGGACATGGCATTTGGAGCAACTTTAAAATTTCGTAAAAAATCTAAATTTGATCAAAATCAACTCAAAGTTGATACACAACATAAGGAATACAGCCTATTATTCTAAAGTGGTAATTGTTGTTTCAGTATCATAAGGCATTATACTAGTAAATTCTTGCAAATTGTGCATTGTATAGCTTGCAGACACTACCATGTTACAGAAGATATGAAATTTTGTGATTGTAATAATTATTTGACATGAAACAAAAATTAGAGAAAAATTCATGGTACCGTATACATTCAAATTTTCGAGTGTTTAAAATTTCGTGTTTTCAATGAAATGTGCTCAAAAGTTAATATTCGTGTGAGCTAATTCTTATGTTCTGGCCATAGTCTACATACAATAGAATGGCATTAGAGGTGGTTTAAATTTCGTGGAATTAAGGAAAGCACGGAAATAACGAAATTTAATACACCTCGGAAATTAAGATGCGTATGGTATACATGTAAGATATTAATAGTAAGATACCATCTAAAGTATAGTATAAGGAAACTATATTAACTATTCAATGCATGCATGGATATCAATTACAGCAGCTATTTAAAGTGGGGATCCTTTAGTAAAACCATCATTGAACAAAGTACAAGAATTATGAAGTTCACAATACTGGCCCTGTTCCTAATGTCCTTTATTCTTGTGGATGCAGTTGGTTACAAGAAGTATTGCAAGAACAAGAAATACTTAGTAAATGGAAAAGATATCCCTCATCTTCACTGTGAAAAGGATGCCTTTATGCTCACTTGGGGATCTAAAAAGAACAAGAGGCATGCCTATTTTGTACAAAGCAACGTGGTTCGATGTAATAAATTAAATGAGGTCCTGAATGATCCTGGTCGCTATAGGTTTAACAAAGTTCCAGCTATAGAAGAGGCAATGATAAGATTTGGAGTAGATGAAGAATGTTTTGATTAATCTGAAAATCAAAAACTCAGGAAGACAATCTTTTTAGAAGACATAAAATATATTAGCTGATATTTTAGATATTATATAAATGATATTTTAGATATTATATATTAGTGAGTGATTAGATATAAAATTTCTTCTATCATAATTTTTTTCATAAATAAATTTTTTTATTGGGAATTGTGATTTTGCAAATACCACTTACTATGACCTGAAAGTTACGAAATTGTCAGTATGCCATTTATACACTTAAGCAAAGCACAAAACACAGTCATTGTAACAACTGCA